GTCAGTTTGACTATAAATTTGTTGAAATCGGAGCTCTGAATGACTTTTTTATCAAGATTTGAATGTTTTCTGTTTAAAATATCGTCTCGAGCTTCGTGTAATTTGTGCCGGATGATGAAAATTTATTTGTGATGTATATATATATATATATGTAGTTAATTGATGTGTATCATGTATGAAAGAGAATTAGCTTACATACCTTTAAATTCTTAGTAAGTATTTGTATGAAACACATTAATTTAACTTGCATATTTTCGTATAAACCTCAAGGCTAAGTGACTAGACATAATACCACACAATTCCTAGTTAATTCAATATCTAACTTTAGCATGCATGGTTAGTCCTAAACAGACCTATTAAAAATCAAATTTTAATTTGTATCGGAATCAGCTTGGTATGGAACTAGAAAGAAACGAGGTATCTCAATTTGAGCAATTTAAATCTTTTCCAGCTCAAAAAATCACTATGAACTAATAGCTATGTGACTCCCACACATGCCCACAATTCATAGTTATTTACATATCCGACTGCAACTTACATATTTAAGCCTAAATATAGCTATAAACGATCACATTTCAATTTGTGCTGGGGTCTGTCTTGATATTGATCTGCTAGAACGGAGATGAGTTATCTCAAATTGAGCAAGGTAAACCAGTTCTTGCTTAAAAATCACACTAAATTGGCCCATTTCCATAAATCGAGCTCAAGTAAATGATAAAGAACTAAATTAGAACAGAATCATATCACTTGTATAATATAAATTTTTTGAAAAAATTATTTACATACCACTCAATACTTATATATTTACAAATCTAACACCTAAATTTCAATTTTTGCATACAGACAGCTGCAAATATGCAGGAAGGGTCTATTTGACTTTTTAAAAGTTTAAATGATGACATTTTTGTCATGATATGAATGATTTGGGTAGTATGTATGTAAAAATAATTTAAAATTTAGTGTCAGATATGTAAATTCCTAAGAGTTGAGTGGTATGCATATGAAAATAAACCTAAACCTAAACCCTCACAATAACAATGAGATACATTATCAAAATCATAGAAAATGAAATCACGTTTTCAAAATTTTAAAAATACTTACATCTACAAAATAGAAAGTCTAACAATTAAGATTTAAAAAATATATTTCAGTAGTACAAAATCGAGTATACTTTTGATTTGAGTGCTGAAATACAAAAGATGCTTGTGTTTGAGGAAGAATTGAGGTTTGGGTGTCAGTCGGCTTCAGAGCACATGCATGTAAGATAAAGAGGAAATGAGAGCTTTAGGTCATCAGTCTGATATTCTAACCATAACCAACGACTTTTAATTGGGCACCACCCATTGGTTATTAATAAATTAGAATCCGACTGACTTGCTTGTTGGTTGCCCATCCGTTTTAGTTTTTGATAGGTCCCATTGACAATCATGTCAGGGATAACATAAGGCCATATGGTTGTTAATTTTCAATCAAATTTAGTAGAGGTTCTCGTAGTGCTTCTAAAAGCCAATTCTACTATTAACTATCATATAGTCCTTAGTAAACTCCTTTCACTACAATTCAAGCCTAAATTTAGTCAATTCAGACTTATGTATGGAAATTAGTGGAAATTATATGTTATGGATAAAAATCTAATATTGTATTGCTAAATTATCATTACTATTATATACAATCTCACTTATCAATTGGGCTAAATCCCCTCTTACACTCTCCTAATCATCTTAGAAGACCCTCAGTCCACCAATTGAGTCAATTCGGTGGTCTTACCCAACTTTGCATGAATAAGTCATGTGGACACATGCTTGGATAATATATAATTTGCTATAATAACTTGCATTTTTTAGATAACTAAAATACCACTTATTAGTTGGAAGTAAGTGAAATCTCATATTTTAAATTGGGTTTTGTGATAGTTTGCTAGCATTCCATTAACATATCTATTCAACCAGTTGAAAAAACTTTTAAGAGAGTAGTTGTACATGATAGAGCTATCATTAATTGAAGGCACTACATAAAATTTATATAGACCTCTTGAAAAATTGACCAACATACATAATGCAAATCACACCACCATAAGAGATAGCAAGGAGGAGCCAATAATTTATATGTGATGGTATAAAACATGGATGTCAATATATCTTGTGCAAGCTCTAATCTAACTACAAAACATTTACTATCTTAGGTCACCAAAAGATAACATAATGTTTTTTCCTCTTAAAAAGAAATTCTAATCAATAAGACTAACTTATGCTCAACCTTCTTAGCATCTCATTTATTATGTTATTATGGAAAATTACTATGTTCGAACTTTAGGCATCATAAAACCATTTGACGGTGGGCATGATAAAAAGTTTAATGCAACTTACTTATTAAGATATTATAGAGTTATTAAGTATAGTGTTACAATCCCTTCATATTTAATATATAGTTTTCGATCAATTAGTTAATCACGATGTCTGTTGGGGTGAACTTGTCAAAGTTATGAGCAATAACATGGTCAACATAGACCGACATTAGATGATCTATTGCGTTTTATGCTCATTGTTGCTAGGAGATCAACACTCAATGATCTAAAAGAGATTAAATACAATCACTTCGTAAAGATCAAGTATAGACACACGTTGGCAATTAATAGCATTAGTTATAGGACTATTGGTGTAAAAATGGTTATCTTATGTACAACATTGAGTGTTTTTTGAGGTGATTAACTTGAATCATAATCTCGTGAGCTACCAACACCCACATCGCATGACACAATTTTTTCTTCTTAGATGTCATGAACTTGTATGCCTGTGAGCATCACCTTGTTGAGATGAAGGGGGTTCACCCGAAGAGATAAACCAATTATAGAGAGATTACAATTAGCACATACTAAGTACACATCTGGCATCGATGTTATTCAACAACACCATAGAAGAAAACATATTGCATCAAATCTATTTAAAAAAAAAATCTTTGTTTTAATTACTATCTAAATTAATTTTCTTTACTATTAATAGGATTCAATAAATTTGTGATTAAATTATTTTATAAAATTTACTAAATTTGTTATTAAAGTTATCATTGCTAAACAAATATCATCAAGTGAGATAAATATTTTACAAAAAGATAAGATAAATTTACTAAATTTGACTACAATTTTACTGAATTAAATTTAAATTCATGAGTAATTTTATTGAGTAATTTAAAGTCATTATTTAAGTCGTTAGATTTGCAATTAGTACTTTATAATGTTAATTTATAATTTAACTAAGCAAATAATTTCTTGTGAATGCTTCTACTAATTTTACTAAATTTAAATTTTAAATTTAGTAATTTTTAGCAATCATTTATTAATTTTTTTAAAATATTATTTTATAATTTTATTACTTATCTTTATGTAACCTAGTAATTATTATCAAATTAATAATTCATGTTTAACATTCAATAAGTATTTTTAATTTATTAAAAAAATAAATTTCTGACTATAAACAATTACTAGATTAATGATTCTATTTAAACAAAAATTTCTTAAAGTTGTAATTTTAATTTTCATCTCAAAAAATTAAAAAAATAATTAAAAATGTAAATCAAGTTTGTTTTATCAAATAAATAATAAAATAACTGAAAATACAACTTTTGATATTTTTCAAAAAGCTAGAAAACTCTAGTTAGGAATTGATTCTACGTTTATGTTTGAATTTAATTTATCACAAGCTTATTTATTTGAATTATGTTCTATATTTGAAAATTTTGCTTTAATAATATAAATTAAGTAAATATTTTAATATATATTTATTAGCGATTACTAAACTATTTTTCAATCAAAGTTATAATTTAAGTCTATCAATATATAAATTTAAAATTTGAATTTTAAGAGAAAAAAGAAAATAAAAAAATTAAAAATATAAATTAAATTTGCATTTAAAATAAACTCAAATTTAATTTGAGTTCTTAAGAAAAAACAAAAGGGCTTATGTATAACATTTAATTTAAATTAAAAAAATAAAGTGGTTGAAAGTAGAAATTAACTTTGTGTTTTGAGGGAAAATTATTTTGATATTATGTTTATACTTTTTTGTAAATTTAATTGAAATAAAATTCCTACTATTTCTTTGTAACCATTATATCCTCCTTTTAAAATTTCGCCTAAATTTGAAAATGATTAAAATCAACATGTTAATTTTTTTAAATCAAGGAATAATTTATTAAATTCTGATCATTTGTTAATATATCCCGAATCATTCAAAAGAAGAGACAAATTTGTCACAAACAGGAAAAAAAAATTATATCAGCACTCTTACCGTAAAGTTACGTTCGGAGTTCACTGATATGCATACACGTGACTTTAAGGAAACACGCGTGCTTTCCTGCGATCTGACCCAATAATATAGGATAATATTTCTCCTGTGCTATTCAATGTTATTCATGTGTTATTGTGGTGATATTGATATGTTATTATATTATTATAATATCAGGAATATTCTCAGAATACAATAATACATAAATAAAATTTCATGAACACCTGGATAATACTGTATAATTCAGAAGGAATATACATCATTTCTGAATATAGGTTTAATAAAAAAGAACAGCGCATATTATTCTTACAAATTCTCAATTTTATCCCCGATTATCGGATTTATTAGTAATTTCTCAGAAACTGCAACAAAAAGGAGAAACATAATATAGGAAAATATTTCTCCTGTGCTATTCAATGTTATTCATGTGTTATTGTGGTGATATTGATATGTTATTATATTATTATAACATCGGGAATATTCTCAGAACACAATAATACATAAATAAAACTTCATGAACACCTGGATAATATTGTATAATTCAGAGGGAATATTCTGTTACGCGACATCATTTCTGAATATAGGTTTAATTAAAAAGAACAGCGCATATTAGACTTCTTACAAATTCTCAATTTTATCCCCGATTATCTGATTCCTTAAGGGATTTATTAGTAATTTCTCAGCAACTGCAACAAAATTTGAAAAGAAGTAAAGCTAAGAACTGGAGAGCACTGGCATGGCTTTTACTCCACTGTCTTTTCAAACATCAGCGAAGCTACTCTCTCACATCTCATCTCATCGCTACTTTTCTCATGGAACTTCAAAATCCGATGTTGGGACATGGAAGTGCGATCAAGATGGCCGATCCTTACCTTTCTCCGACTGTGGAAGAATTAATCGCGCGGATTTGCCAAGCTCAATCTCTCTCGCCCCCCGACGACGAAGCTCGTCTTTTCCTCAATGAGGTTGGAGAAGCGGCTGCACTCCGGATTTTGACCGGATTAGCTTCTCGAAGGATCAGGAATTTGTCGGCTTACATCATTTTCATGTGTAAGAAATCGGAGATTGTACTGGCCCGGAACACTGAGTCTATCGCTACTCAAGAGAGCGCTTGCTGCTCGGGGCCACCAACTCCTCGTTCACCGGCTACCGGAGGTAGTTTAAATTTGGTGTTCTTGTGAAGTTTACTTCGGCGGGATCAGTTAATGGTTTATTTTGTTCTGATCGCAGATGGTGCTGCCGGTGAGGCTACATCGCCGGCACGTATTATGCCTCTGGTGATATATAGGATTCCTCCTCGTGTGTCTAATGGAGGCAATGTGATGAAAGCTTTAGGGGATATGGAGTTTCGCAAAGCTTTTTTGATCTTAAGTTACTGTGGGGGGTAAGTTTTGCTTTTTCTTGTGAGCTCGTTCTGCCTTAAGGGGCTGTCTGGTAACGGATTTACTGCGAGATTTAAGCTAAATCTTGCCAGTCGGTCATTTTGGACAAGATGAAGGCGCGGATTTGATAAATCCGGATTTCGCTGATTTCGGCCGTAAATTTCGTGAATCCCAAATCCCGCGCGCGAGGGTGCTAACTCAAAATAAATCTACCAGACAGTCCCTTAGTTACGAGCAATTTATATAAATTTGGCAATTTGATGATTTAAAGTTTTAAATTTCATTCCTCTGAGACAGGACAGGAAATAATATTCATGCTTAAGAGACAATCATTTTTGACATCTTAATTGCCGGGATTTACTACATCCAGATTCCGCTCATTTTCAGGGTGCGGATCGCTGGGGTAGGAGAAGAGCGGAATCAGAAAGATAGGAGTTTCATTGTCCTCCCAGCTGGCTCTGGTTGCGACTATATAACGACTATATAACGACTCGAGGGTTATCGGTGGCAGAAATGAAGGGAGGCTGGCGATGATTTTGGGCGAAATGGGAGACGGAGAAGGGAGATAGAGGGAGGGAACTGGGGAGGGTTTTGGGTAGGAAGAAATATTGCCTCAGTACTACGCAAGTATATCTACGTGCGTAGCCAATTAAATGTCGCTACGTGGAAAGCCCGGCCTCGCCTATTAAAGCACAAAAAAATAATACAAAAATTAATTTCTTATTAATCCCGACCCGCAAAAAAATAATACAAAAATTAATTTCTTATTAATCGCGGCCCGACCCTATTAATCCCGACCCGACCCTAAACCCGAACCCGCCTAAAAAGCCGATTCATTTTCTCCGCACTATTTCATTTTCTCCATACTATTACGAGTTTAGGGTTTAGTCTCCGTATCTTCTTCCTCGGCGAAACCCTACGCATTCTCCGACAGGCAAGCGAAGGTGACGATGGCGTCCAACCTTTCATTAAAATCAAGGTATGCACCTAAACCAAAGTAATGAAATGCACAACAATACCACATCAATATCTATCACACAAGTAACACACTATATCACACAAGTAACACACTAGTAATACAACAATAACACAACAATACCACATCAATAACACACAAGTAACACCAGTAACACATAAAAAATACAACAATATTACATCAATACCACACAAGTAACACACAATGACTTTGAATAATTAACACAGAAATAACCCTACCTCAATGACTGCATAAAACCAAATTCGGTGGACTTACAGATATCTTTATGACACAGTTTTAATGTGTTATTCTTGTATTATTCGTGTGTTCTAATAATGTGTTATTATTGTGCTATTCCTGTGTTACTGGTGTGTTAATCACATATTATTCCCGTGTTATTCATGTATTATTGATGTGTTACTTCTTATGATGTGTTTTGCTTCTGTTTAGGGATATGTAATACACTTTTGATTGCTAATGAAGTGTATTAGATGTATTATTTATGTGTTATTGATGTGTTACTGATGTGAAATTGATGATGTGTTACTGAATGTGTTACTGATGTGAAATTGATGTGTTATTCCTGTATTATTGATGCGTTACTGATGTGTTATTCATGTGATAACACGAATAACACCGGAGTAACTTATGTTGAATTCTTATTATTATGTTATGAAGGTTTATTGAGGTGTCACTGATGTATAAACAAGAGTAACACCTCTTGGTGAGCTTCATATCACCTGAATAACACATCAATAACATTTAAAATGCAGCTCCATATGGTTATAATAATGTGTTATTGTTTCTTTAATTTGTAGAATTATGAGTGCAAGGACTTTCAACTGTAGCTGTCGTCCATCTGCAGTGAGAGGTGCCTTGGATGAAATTCGAGATCTGCTTTCAGAGGAGACTATTAGAAAATTAGGGTGTTCAATTTCTTTGACATGCCCCCATATCCCCAGGACAATGTTATGACTTTACATATTCTGAGATGTTGGGATAATGAGAGGAAGGTTTTCAAAATGAGTGGAAAAGAGGTTACGTTACATGCTGACTACATGGCTTTACTGATAGGGATGTCAAACAGAGGAGAATCTGTTTCATGGAAGAAAAGACTCCTATCAAACGTGGATGCTAGACAAATAAGCTTCCACCCCTCCATTTGAGCAGTCGTATTTGAAATTCTTACTAACTAATTTATTTTTTCCTTCAAGCAATTTTCATGTGCCTGCAAAACTATCTTCTTTTGCTGTAAATGTACAAGTTTTTCCGTTCTTTAATTGACCTGCTGCCATATGTGAAGTGATCATCGATCAAGTGCGAACCGCCTCCATAAAATTAAGACAGAATAAGTCGATAGACTATATTCAAGGATTTATATTTCTTTTAACGGTAAGTATTTGTTGTTTACTTTAAAACATTTTTTTTCTGAATTTTTGTTTTGTTATACTAACTTTTGCATACATGTTTATGGTGTAAAACTTCCTCAGCTATGGTTTTACGACCACACGTCTCTGTTAACTCCTGCTGCACCTGACGCTAGACCTCGCTTTCTGAGGTGGTCAACCAATCATAAGTTGAGTGCTGAGAAGATTCATGAAGCATTCAAGAGACTCGATCATGTAAATCATTTAATTTTTATTGCAGCTTATTGACACCTCTGTTTAATAACTTTTTAATAATGCCTACAACGATTTTGACGAATACATTTTTATTGTAGGTTAATGACAGATTCTTAGATTTGATAGAAGATGAAGTACAACTGCTCGCAAATCCAGATCAGGGACCACCGAGTCCTGTAAGGGAACTCCCACACCATGAAACTACGACAGAAACATCTTCACCCAGATCGTATGCAAATGGTATAATTGTATCTAGTAATATTATCCCAATAGCTGGACATACGGCAGAAAGTGCTGATTTTGGATTACTATTTGAGATGCTGAAATCTCAGGAACAAGTCAGCTTCAATATACAAGATACAGTGACTGACATGAATAGACAGATGAATACTGTGGTAGAAATATTGTCCACCCTCACAGGTTTGGTACAAAGATTATTTGAAACTAAGGCTGATAAGGTTGTTAAGAAAATAATGTCCGATACAAATCAAACTCAACTCTAAAGGAAGAAGACTAGCATCAGTGGAAGGAAGAGGACCGTGGACGCCTCAGTATCTCAATACCAGTTTAAAAGATGACTTAGAAAAAACGATAATGTGGATGTTGCTGATCTTATAAATACAGATGTTTCTGGACAGAATCAAAAGGCCAAAGAAACAATAAGACAAGAACAAGGTATAGATTTTTTGTTGCCAACTACAAGAACAAGAACAAGGTACAAATTTTTTGAGGCCGAAGAAATAAGAGGCCGAAGATATATTATTAAATAAGTGGCTTGCAGCCGAACATGTTGATCTATTTGCTGACTTGCTGCGCAAAAGAACTTTAAGGGATCAGAGTTGTACCGACCTTACCTGTATGTTTCGCCAATGTATGGGGTATGTTGAATAACTTAAATTTATTCATGCAAGTTTAAGTCATATATTCCATGCACATTTAAAGTAATAATTTTATGCAGATGCATATGACATATGGTAGCAAACTCTACGTGAAACATATCACCAAAGAAGCTGTTAAAGATGTAAAAATCATTTTTTTTCCGATCATTCATAATCAGCATTGGATTTTGTTGGTTCTAGATCTCAAGTTGAGGAAATGGAGAATATACGACTCACTACCTAACCAGATGCATAAGGCTGGCGCTACGGAAGTTGTAAGTCTATTCAACTCAATAAAAAGTAACACAATAGCACTCGAAGAATAACACCATACTGCTTCAACTATGCAGATCAATATGTTTGCTAGAGATGCCGCTGATGTATTTACAACCAAAATCCATAAATGGTTTATATCGATTACAAAACATGTACCCTCACAAAGGAATAGTTTTGATTGCGGCATGTTCGTCTGCAAGTACATGGAAACATTAGTGCAGATCGAAAAAGTCGACTGGAGTGCGCATATGGATTGACAGGATAAAATGAAACCATTTAGAGCTGAATTTGTATATGACATTTGCATATTCTCGAGGACTTCATAGTAAATTTGTATATTTGTGTTTTGTATATTTGTATAGGCCATCTATGGGGGAAATTGTGCAGATCTTAAAAAATGTTGCTGAGGCGAATGTTGCTTCATAATGTAATGTTCATAGAAAGCTTAGATTTTATTTTAATTTTCCATTTCAGAGTTGTTTGTTGTACTTCCTATGATTTATGTTTCACTTTCTACTGGGAATGATGTTTAATGATTTCAGTTCTTTGTATATTTGTATAGTTTTGGAATGATAATTTTTGAAATAATATTGGGTAGGAGAAACATAAAATTTAATGATACTTTTTGTATATTCCCTTGACATGGTTTTGGAGTGATACTTTTCACAGATTGATACTTTTTGTATATTCCCTTGGCATAGTTTTGTATATTCACAGAAAGATACTAAAATTTAATAATATTAGTTTTGGAATGATACTTTTCACAGAAAGATAAAAAATTTTGCGTCAAAATTTAACTAAATTATATTGCGGAATAACCCGACGAACAACGTAGTAACACCGATTTAATCGGCGGTAACACGGAATATTCACCGAGAAACACAGCACACTATACAGAGTAACGCAGAGTAACGACGATTAAATTGGCGGTAACAAAGGGAATATTCCCTTGGCATAGCGGAGTAACGCAGAGTAGCATGCTTGGTACAATGGTAATGTGTTACTCACTGTCGGCACTATAAGAAGGTTTGAAGAAAGTTTGGGAGGTCGCCTGTAAGAAACTGTCGGTCGCCGGAATCGAAATCCCGTCGCCCGCTTCGAAAGGACATTTTAATTTACGTATATGTATATATATGATTTTAGAAAAATATGAAATCAAACTGACCTCATATTTTTCATA